TCCTTAGAATTAACTCTTCATGATCAGTAAAAAGGAAGGCGCCTGTCAGTATAAAAGGGAGCGATGAAAGGGAAACGCAGTCAAATTTCTTTACACAGAGGGAGAGAGGACATGATTAGGGGAAGAGAACATAATGCTAGGAGGGGGGGAAGAACTTTATCTAGGGGGGAAAAAAGGACATGATGCTAGGAGGGAGAGAGAACATGATGCTAGGAGGGAGAGAGAACATGATGCTAGGAGGGAGAGGGCCCTGATGCAGGAGGGGAGGGGAAAAATGATCTAGGAGGGGAGGAACATGTTTCTAGGAGGGGAGAGAAATAAATGCTAGGGGGAAAAAGGGGAACATGATCCCTAGGAGGGAGAGAGAACTGAGGCAAAGGAGGTAAAAGGAATAAATCCCGGGGAGGGAGAGAAAACTTTATGCTAGGGGGGGAAGGGGAAGAGCAGAAATGAAATGCTGGGAGGGAAAAAACATATTTGGAGGGAGAGAACATGCTCCCAGGGGAAAGGGGAAAAAACAGATCCCAGGAGGGGAGAGAAACCAAGATTCCTAAAATTTTTTTCGGAAACATTTTTTTTCTTTTATGTTAAAGGGAGGAAAACCTGGGGGGCATGTCCCGGGGGGGGAGAGCTGTTTTGGCAGGAGGGGGTGCTGTGTTCTTTGCCAAGGGGGGAGAGCTTATCGGGGGTCTGTTCCCGGGGGGAGAAGCTTACCTGGGGGGCCCGCCTGGGGGGAAGTGTTTTCCCCGGGGGGCTCCTGGGGGGGCCCTGTCCTAGGGGGGAAGGGGCTGATCTGGGGTTCCCCCTGAACCTAGGGGGGAAGGGCTGATCTGGTTGGGGTGGCCCTTCCCCAAAGAGGAGAGGAACTGTCTGGGGGGGGCCTAAGGGGGGAGAGGGAAATGTGCTAAGGGTGGCCCCCTGTCCTAGGGGGAAAAGGGAACTTCTCGGGGGGGCCCTGTCCAAAGGGGGGGGAGAGCTGATGGGGGGTCTGTGCCCCTGTCCTAGGGGGGAGAGAGAACTGTCTTTGGGGGGGCCCTGCCTAGGGGGAAACAGCTGGGGGGGGGCCTGGTGGCCCTGTTTTGAGGGCTGAATTTCCCCTTTGGGTGGGGCCCGGGGCCCTAGGGGGGAGAGGGGGAAACCTGTCGGGGGCCCGGGGCCTGGGGTGAGAGGAACTGCTCGGGGGGCCCCCTGTCCAAAAGGGGGGAGAGCTGATCTGGGGGGGGCCCTGTCCTGGGGAGGAGAGGAACTGCCTTTTTGGGGGCCCTGTCCTAAAAAGGGGCTTTTTGCCTGGGGGAGAGGAAAATTGTTTTCGGGGGGGGCCCCCGGGCCAAAGGGGGAAAGGGGAACTGTTTTGTTGGGGTTTTCCAAAGAGAGCTGTTCTGGTTTGGGGGCCCTGTTCCTAGGGGGGAAGAGCTGTTAAAAAACTGTCGGGGGGGCCCTGTCTTTTGGGGTAAGCTACTGGAGGGAGAGGGGTTATCGGGAGGGAAAAAACAGGTTTAGGGGGGAAAAACTGCCCCCAAGGGAGAGGAACAATCAAGGGGGAGAAAAATTTTCGGAAGGGAATGATCCTGGGGAAAGAAAACATAGCAGGGGGGAGAGAAAAAGAGAGGGGGGAAAACATGATCAAAAAACCCCCTTCCCCCCCTTCTCTTTTTTCCCTTGTTTTGGGGGGCTTTTTCCTTCTTCTTCTTCTTTCTCTTTTTTTTTCCTTTTCCTCTTTTTTTAAAAACTTCTGTTTTCCCCCTTCGGGGGCCCCCTTCCTTCTTCTTCTTTCCTTTTTTTAAAACCTTTTTCCCCTTAAAGGGGACTTTCCAAAAGGGGGAACTTCTTTTTCCCTTTCCTTAAAGGGGAAAAAGTTTAAAGGGGGGATAAAACATTATTTTGGGAAAAGACCCCCCCCCAATACCCCTTTAAACCCCGAAAACCCCCCTTCCTAAAACCCCTTTCCTAAAAAATTTGATTGCAAGGGAAGGGGCCCCCATTATGGGGGGGAAAAAGAAAACATTTAAAGGGGGGAGAAAGCAATGCGGGAGGGAAGAAACCTTTGTCTAGGGGGAAAACCCCCGTGAAAAATCCCTGTTTTGGAAGAGGGGAAACCTTTTTTTTTAAAGAGGCACCTAAACGGGGTTGGAACAACCCAACAAAAATATCAAACAAAACCAGTTGGAAAGGTGGAAAAAAGAGGGCTAAAAAGGGAAGGCTTAAAGCAGCCATGTTTCCTGGGAAGGGAGAAACCTTTTTTCTATAGGGGTAAAACTGGGGAAAGGGGTAAAACAGTCCAGTGGGGAAGGTACGAGGGGGGAAAAACGTCTGGGAAGGGAGAAACCCCCCCAAGGGGGCCCAATGCGGGAAAAAACGGGTTTAATAAGGCTTTTGTTTCTCCCAAAACCAAAAAGCAGGGGTTGGTTTTCGGGAGGGAAAGCTTTGATCTTTTGGGGAAAAGAACTACGGGGGGCGTTTGGGGGGGAAATGAAGGAAGGAGAGGGGGAGAGGGGAAGAGCGGGAGGGAGGGGACAAAAAGAGGAGATAAACCTGATTCTAAGAAAGAGAAAAGAGAAGAGGGAAAAGAAAAAGGGGAGAGAAAGGGGAAGAGGGGAGGGGGGAAGAGGGGAGGGGGGGAAGAGAGGGGGAAAAAGGGAAACAGAGAGAGAAAAAAAGAGGGGGAAAGAGAATTCTTTCCTCTCTATCTTCTTCCCCTTTTCCCCGGGTTTTTTTCTCCCCTCTTTTCTTTTCTTTTAGAAATCCTCAGTCTCCCCCCCCCCCCCCCACCCTACTCCCTTAAATCCCTGCCTCCCCCCTTTCCCCTCTTCCCACCCCCTTTTCCCTCCCCCCTATTTATGAACTGAAGGAAAAAACCTTTAAGGTGATTCAGATGAATCTTACGTTAGTAGCTTATAAAACCCTGTGTATAAAATCTTTTCTAGGGTTTAACACGTGAATTACCTGTTCTGAAGCAGAGTCCATTCTTTTTCCCACCCCCATCGTGGGCACCCTAACAGGGTCGGGCAACAAAACAAAAACAATAATAAAAAACAACAACGTGGAAACGGTGTAAAAAATGGCTAAAACAAGTGGAAGACAAGCTTTAGTCGCCCCCTTCCATCAGTCCTAGGGGGACATCCCCCTTCCTTTTCTCAGACTGTGGTGGACTGTGGGTAGGGTGACTTTTCCGTAGGATAACGGGGGTGGACTTTAACAGGGGGACAAAACCCCAAAGCCTCACTGGGTCTTAAAAGGGGCTAACCCTATTTCTATTGTCTTTCCCCCTAAACAAAAAGCGGGTCTTCCGCCCCCCTTTCAATGATTGTGGCTCTTCCGGGAGAACCCCCTTTTTGGGAAAAGGGGATGAAAGGAAGGGGAAGAGAGAAGACAGAGGGTTTGAGAGACTAAAACAAGAGAGATCAGCCTATAATCATCACTTTAGGAAGAGAACACCCCTAAAACTCACATAGGAGAGAGAGAAAAAAGGAGAGAAGGAGAAAAATAAAAAAGAAAAAAAAAAGAAAAGAAGAGAAAGATAAAGAAAGACAAAAATAAAGGAAAAAAAGAGAGAAGCCCGAAGAGAAACCCGAAGAGAAAAACAAGAAAATACAAAAAAAAAGACAAAAAAAAACAAAAAGAAAACAAAGAAAACCGAAAACAAAAAAATTTTGGGAAAAAAAGGGGGGGGAAAACGGCATTTTTTTAAAAAGGCCCCCTCACTCTGAACCCCCACTAAAGGGAAAAAGCTGGGGAGCACTCATTTAGAAACAACACCCCTACAAAAAAAGCTGGGGAAAGGCTCACTACTAGAAAATGGGAACACTCACTGCTGGAACCGGGGGGAACATTTTATTTACTAAAACGGCGTCACCTAAGAAAAGTTTTGGGAACGTCACTCCCGGGGAAACAGCTGGGAGAGCACTCACTACTGGAAAAAACGCTGGGGAGCATCCTCCTGGAAAACAGCGGGGGAGAGCACCACTGACTGGGAAAAAGCGGGAGAGAGCTCAGACTGGAAAAAAAACAGCGGGGAAGAGCTCACGACTGGGAAACCGGGGGAAGGCACCCTATGAGAAACATGGGGGGCACTCACGCGGGGAAAAACACTGGGAGGCACTCCAGGGAGAAACACAACAGCTCACTGATAGAAAACACTGGGAGACACTCCTACTGGAGAAACAGCTGGAGGGGCGCTCCTGCTGGAAAATGGAAGCACTCACCCTAAACCGGAGAGCACTCCCTGATGGAGAAACACGGGAGACAGCTCCACGGAAAACGCTGGAAGCACTACTGCCGGAAAACCTGGGAACAGCTCACTGACGGGGAAAACGCTGGGGAAAGCACTCACTGACGGGAAAAGAAACGGCAGCTCACGACTAGAAAAAACACTGGGGGGCACTCCTGACGGGGAAAAACAACCGCCCCACTCGGGAGAAACGGGCAGCCACTGACTGAGAAACCTTAAACACTCATACGGGAAAACAGTTTTAAAAGGGAGAGCTCACTGACTGGGAAACCGCGGGGAGAGCCTCACTGCTAAAACCTGGGAGAGCAGTCACTGAGGGAAAAAAGTGGGAGAGCACCCACTGACTGGAGAAAAGACAGCCCCTGCTGGAAAAAACAGCTGGGGAGAGCAGCCCCGGGCTGGAAAAACGAGCCGCTCACTGACGGGAAAACAGGGGGACCAGCTCCTGACTGGAAAAACGCGGGGAAGCCCCCTGATGGAGAAAACCTGGGAGACCTCACTATGGAAAAACACTGGGAAGACTCACTCCTAGAAACACTGGGGGAAATACTACTACGGGAGAAACCGGGGAAAAAGCAGCTCCTGCTGGAAAAACAGCTGGGGAGACTCCCCTGGAGAAAAGCGGGGAACAGCTCCTAGGGAAAAAACACTGGGGAGGTATTTTAGGGAAAAAAAGTGCCCTAAGTTGTGGCCCTAACCTCTTCATAGGAAGAAGGAGAGGAGGCTGTGAGACGTTGTGCCCTAACCCTTCATAAAAGGAGACCGGGGCCCCCTACTTCTGCCTGAGTGGAGGGGGGGGAGGTAGGTGAGGTTTGGTGTAGGACCAGGACGGGGGTCTCCCCCGGGCCCCTTTTCCCCCCAGGGTGCTCTGCTGTGGGGGACAGGTCTGGTAGGCTGCCCGGCGCTCTGGAGAGAAGCTATCCCACAGGCCTGAGATAGATTCAGATACTACAGCCAGCCCAGTCTGTCCCGGGCTCAGCACACCACTACAGATCAACTTCTCTAATGTCTGTCTGTAGAACAACAAGTACCTGGAGAGAGAGAGAGATGGGGGAGAGGGAGGGGAAGAGAGAGAGAGAGAGATGGGGGAGAGGAGGGAAGAGAGAGAGAGAGATGGGGGAGGAGAGGGGGGGAGAGGATGGGGAGAGGGAGGGGAGAGATGATTGTGGCGCAGGGAGGGGTGGGGAAACGAATTGTGTTATGGTGCGGGGGCCGTGATCACTGAGGTTGGGTCGCGAGCTGGGGGATGAGAGAGAGATGGCGGGCGGGCGTGGGGCGGTGGGAGGAGAGATGGGGGAGGGAGGGGTGGAGAAGAGAGATGGGAGGGGGCGAGGTCGAGAGAGATGGGGCGACGTGGGGCGAGAATGCGGGAGGCATCGGGGGGGTGGGCGAGGTCGGGAGATGGGTGGTGAGGGAGTGGAGGATTCGGAGCAGGAGGAGTGGGAGCTGATGGGTGGGGGAGGGGAGCAGAGATGGTGAGGAGAGCCGCTGGGGACTTGGTGACTGGCTGGGGAGGATGAGATCGATAGTAGCACGATGGTGGAGATACTGTGTGACATGGTGATGTCGATGAGGATCGGGAGCAAAGAGTAGCTACTGGGTGAGTCTACTATAGTAGCAACATTACTGGTAGGGGCTAGCTATGGATAGAACAGGGGAGATGGGGGCAATAGATACTATGGAAAAATTATGGTCTATAGAGCACATTCTGTATCTACTATGGAAGCAACATACTGTAGTTCTATGGATAGCACATTACTGTGTCTACTATGGATAGCAACATTACTGTAGTCTACATGGATAAACATTACGTAGTTACTATGATAGCAAATTACTGTAGTCTACTATGGATGCAACATTACTGATCTACATGGAACACATCTTAGCTCGACTATGGATAGCAACATTACTGTAGTCTACAGGAACAAACTGTATTTACTATGTAGAAACTTCTGTAAGTCTATTTGGAAGCAACATTATGTAGTCTATAGGGTAGAAATTCGTAGTCTCAGGGATAGAAATAGGTTACTAATACAACATTATGTAGTCTACTATGGATGCAACCATTTACCTGTAGTCTACTAGGGTAGCAAACTTTAAAGTGTTAATGGATAAAAACTCTGTAGTTTACATGGAAACTTTATTTTCTACTTGGATACCACTTTATGTAGTCACTAGGTAGCAACTTTATGGCACTATGATAGCAAAATTACGGTAGTCTACTAGGATAGCAACTTACTGGTCTACGGATAAAACATTACTGTAGTCTCTTGATAGCAACATTACTGTATCTAATGGATAGCAACATTAGTAGTAGAAAATTTTACGGAGTCTACTAGATAGCAACATTATGTATTTACTATGGAAAAAAAAATTACGAGTCATATGGATAGAACATTATGTAGTCTAAGGATAGCAACTTACTTTTACTAGGATGAACATTACTGTAGTTACTATGGATAAAACATTAAAATTGTAGTCTACTAGGATAGCAACAACTGTGTTTATATTAAAATTTACTGTATCTACTATGGATCCAACATTCTTAGTCAATAGGGGGATAGAACAGGGGGCACAGGATGTAAAATTCCCATTACGGATAGAAATTTAGTAGCTAAGGGTGAAAAAGGGGGGAGAAGGAAAGAAAAACTTTTGTCCAGGAAAAGAAATTGGGGTTTTCTTAGAGAACCCCTTTTTAAATGTTTTACGGAAAAGGGAACAAATTGGTAGGCCAAATTATGTGTCTACTAGGATAGAAAAATTATGGCTAAGGGATGTAAATTACGTAGTCTACTATGGTGAACTTACGTTTTTATATGGATAAAAACTTACTGTAGTCTATATGGATAGCAACATTATGTACACTTGGAAGCAACATTACTTAGTCTTAGGAAGCAACTTAGTAGTCTACTAGGATGCAACTTACGTAGTCTACCTGGATAGCAAAATTACTGTAGTCTACAGGGATAGCAAAATTCTGTATTACTATGGAAGCAAATTAGGATCTACAGGGATAAAAACATTACGTAGTCTACTATGGATAGCAACATTATGAGTTATAGGGAAGCAACTTACTGTAGTCTACTATGGTAGCAAATTACTGATCTACTAGGGGATGCAACATACTGTAGTCTACTATGGATAACAACAACTGTGTTACTATGGATGGGCAACATATGTATTTACTATGATAGCACATTTACTGTAGTCTACCATGGTAAAACTTACTGGGTCACTATAAGCAACATTACTGAGTCTCTATGGATAGCAACATACTGAGTCTACTATGGATAGAAACATTAGTAGTCACTATGGATAGAAAACTTACTGTAGTCTACTTGGATGCACATTACTTTAGTTCTAGGGTAGCAACATTACTGTAGTCTACTTGGATAGAAACCCATTACTGTAGTCTATTTGGATAGCAACATTACTGTAGTTACGAGGATAGCAACATTATGTATTCTACTATAGATAGCAACTTACTGTAGCCCCTACTATGGGATAGCAACTACTGTAGTCTACTATGGATAGCAACATACTGTAGTAACTATGGTAACCATTAACTTAGTCTACTAGGAAGCAACTTTACTGTATCTACTATGGATAGAAAACATTACTGTAGTCTACTATGGATAGCAACATTACTAGTAGTACTATGGATAGCAAACATACTGAGCTAATGGAAGCAACTTTACTGTAGTCTACTTTTGGATAGAACATTACTGTAGCTACAAGGGAAATAGCAACTTTTACTGACTACTATGGAAGAAACATTACTGTAGTCTACTATGGATAGCAACATTACTGTAGTCACTATGGATAACAACATGGGGTGTTCTATAGATGCCCCATTACTGTAGTCTACTATGGATAGCAACTTACTGTACCAGGCACATACTGTAGTCTACTATGGATGGGACTTACGGGTAGTCATATGGATAGCAAACATTACTGTAGTCTACTAGGGATAGAAACCATTACTGTAGTACTATGGATAGCAACATTACGGGTAGTCAACTATAGATGCAACATTACGTAGCTACTATTGGATACACTTTACTGTAGTCTACTGGATGCAAACATTACTGTAGTCTCAGGGAAAGAACTTTACTGAGTCTACTATGGATAAACATTACTGTAGTCACTATGGATAGCAACATTACTGTTAGTCTACTAGGAAGGCAACATTACGGTGTCCTACTATGGATAGCAATTACTGGAGTCTATATGGTGCAACAACTGTATTACTAGGATAGAAAACTTTACTGTATGCTCTAGGATAGCAACATTACTGTAGTCTACTATGGAGAAACATCTGTAGGCAACTTTATGTAGTCTACTATGGATAGAACATTACTGTAGTCTACTATGGATAGCACAACTAGTCTTAGGGATAGCAATTACTGTAGTAGCAACATTACTGTAGCTACTATGGATAGCAACATTACGTAGTCTACTATGGATCAACTTTACTGTAGTCACTATGGATAGACAAAATACTGTAGTTACATGGATAGCAACATTACTGAGTCGTACTGGGATAGGAGAAATTACTGTAGTTACATGGATAGCAAATTATGTAGTACTATGGATAGCACATCGGTAGTCTATAGGAGAGCCACATTACTGTGTAATGGATGAACATACTGTAGTCTACTATGGATAGCAACATTACTGTAGTCCTACTATGGATAGAACATTCTGTAGTCTACTATGTGATAGCAAATTACTGTAGTAGCAACATTACTGTAGTTACTATGATACAACATTACTGTAGTCTACTATGGATAGCAACATTACTGCAGTCTACTATAGATAGCAACATTACTGTAGTCTACTATGGATAGCAACATTACTGTAGTTACTATGGATAGCAACATTACTGTAGTCTACTATGATAGCAACATTACTGTAGTCTACTATGGATAGCACATTACTGTAGTCTACTATGGATAGCAACATTACTGTAGTCTACTATGGATAGCAACATTACTGTAGTCTACTATGGATAGTAACATTACTGTAGTCTACTATAGATAGCAACATTACTGTAGTCTACTATGGATAGCAACATTACTGTAGTCTACTATAGATAGCAACATTACTGTAGTCTACTATGGATAGCAACATTACTGTAGTCTACTATGGATAGCAACATTACTGTAGTCTACTATGGATAACAACATACGGTAGTCTACTATGGATAGTAAACATTACTGTAGTCTACTATGGATATCAACATTACTGTAGTCTACTATGGATAGCAACATTACTGTAGTCTACTATGGATAGCAACATTACTGTAGTCTACTATGGATAGCAACATTACTGTAGTCTACTATAGATAGCAACATTACTGTAGTCTACTATGGATAGCAACATTACTGTAGTCTACTATGGATAGCAACATTACTGTAGTCTACTATGGATAGCAACATTACTGTAGTCTACTATGGATAGCAACATTACTGTAGTCTACTATGGATAGCAACATTACTGTAGTCTACTATGGATAGCAACATTACTGTAGTAGCAACATTACTGTAGTCTACTATGGATAGCAACATTACTGTAGACTACTATGGATAGCAACATTACTGTAGTCTACAATAGATATCAACATTACTGTAGTCTACTATGGATAGCAACATTACTGTAGTCTACAATAGATAGCAACATTACTGTAGTCTACTATGGATAGCAACATTACTGTAGTCTACTATGGATAACAACATTACTGTAGTCTACTATGGATAGCTACATTACTGTAGTCTACTATGAATAGCACATTACTGTAGTCTACAATAGATAGCAACATTACTGTAGTCTACTCTGGATAGCAACATTACTGTAGTTACTATGGATAGCAACATTACTGTAGTCTACTATGGATGCAACATTACTGTAGTCGACTATGGATAGCAACATTACTGTAGTCTCCCATGGATAGCAACATTACTGTAGTCTACTATGGATAGCTACATTACTGTATGTCTACTATGAATAGCAACATGTACTGTAGTCTACAATAGATAGCAACATTACTGTAGTCTACTATGGATAGATACATTACTGTAGTCTACCATGGATAGCAACATTACTGTAGTCTACAATAGATAGCAACATTGACTGTAGTCTAATATGGATAGCAACATTAGCTACTGTAGTCACTATGGATAGCAACATGACTGTAGTATACTATAGGATAGCCAACATTACTGACTGGTAGTCTACTATGGATATCAACATTAACTGTAGTCGACTATGGATAGTCAAATTACTGTAGTCCTACTATGGCATATCAACATTCTGTAGTACTACTATGGATAGCAACATTACTGTAGTCTAAATTGGATATCAGACATTACTGTAGTCTCCTGGATAGGCAACATACTGTAGACTACGATGGATCGTCAACATTACTGTAGTCTACATTGGATAGCAACATTACTGTAGTCTACTATGGATAGCAACATTACTGTAGTCCTCTAATAGATAGCAACATTACTGTAGTCCTACTATGGATAGACAACATTACTGTAGTCTACTATGGATAGTCAAACATACTGGTAGTCCTACTATGTGATATCAACACTACTGTAGTCTACTATGGATAGCACATCTGTAGTCTATACTATGGGATGAAAAACATACGGGAGTCCTACCTATGATAGTAACTTACTGTAGTGCTACTATGGTAGCAACATTAATGTAGTTACTTTGGATAGCACATTACTGTAGGTCTACTATGGATGTGGGATAGCAATTACTGTAGTCTACTATGGAGAGCAAACATTACTTGTATAGTCGAATATGGCATAGCAACCTTACGTAGTTATACTATGGATATCAACATTATGTAGTCACTGGATAGTAACATTACTGTAGTCTACCCTATGGATATCAACATTACTGGTAGTCTATATGTGATTAAACAAAATTACTTGTAGTCTTATATGGATAGCAACATTACTCGTAGTCTTACTATGGATAGCAAACATTACTGTAGTTATATAGATAGACACATTATGTAGTCTACTATGGATAGCAACATTACTGTAGGTCTACTATGGATAGCAACATTACGTTATAGTACATAGATAGCAACATTAATGTAGTCTTACTAGGGATAACCACATACTGTAGTCTACTATGGATAGTAACATTACTGTAGTTGGTCTTACCTATGGAATCAAAACATATTACTGTAGTATATATGGATAGAAAATACTGTAGTCTACTATGGATAGCAACATTACTGTAGTCTACTAGGATAGCAACACGTATCCTGACTTACTAGGACTATGCACACATTACTGTAGTTCTACTATAGATAGCAACATTACTGTAGTCTACACTACTGTAGTCTATATGATAGCAACAGTTACTGTAGTCTACTATGGATAGCAAACAGTTACTGTAGCATTACTATGGATAGCAACATTACTGTAGTCTACTATGGATAGCAACATTACTGTAGTCTACAACATACTGTAGTCTACTATGGATAGACATTACTGTAGTCTACTATGGATAGCAACATTACTGTAGTCTACTATGGATAGCAACATTACTGTAGTCTACTATGGATAGCAACATTACTTAGTCTAATATGGATAACAACATTACTGTAGTCTACTATTAGGGATAGAACATTACTGTAGTCTACTATGGATAGCCACATTGTGGAGTTTAAATTCTAATTTCAAGCTCAGGAGGGCAACTATCATAGCTGTTTTATGGAGGTTATAAATCAGTTTGCCATTGGTGAAATGAATGAGCCCTTTTTAAATCACTCTCCATGGTCAAGAGGTGCCACCAGCTATAAGTCCCCCTCGTGCCAAGTCCTTGATCCCCAGTCACAGGCCAGGAGAGCACTAACTCACCGCACTACGGACAGTTTAAAACATCTCAACGGAGACAGGACATCCAACAGACGCGAATCAGCCGAGGGGTGAAACTCTGGCTGCGCCGATGGAAAAAATGCCTTCAGTTGAATTTGGTCTTTGTGGGGAGTAGCTTCAACAGAGACTGAAGGATAAGAGAGAGTTGTATCTCGGGGGAAGTATATTCTGTTGTCACTCATTCTGTCAATAAGTCGGTCTTTCATCAGACCTGCTTTTCACTGAACGTTTAATAAAGTCACCGTGTCCCTTTAAAAGTAACAGAGAAGGCCAGTTTCCCCCAGATACAGATTAAGCCCAGTCCTAGACTACGTGCTTTTTTAGTGTTAGAAAATGGGTTCATCTGTATCCGGGGAAACCAGCCCAAAGAGTGTGTGAGTGGCCCATTGTCCGGGAGAACAAGTCCCATTGTGAAACAATGCTTCATAGCCTCTCGACTGATGGAATACCAGTCCATGGAGATACGTTTGACTCGTCGTGGGGTAGCAGTCTATAGGTCCATTTGTATAATTTAGTGGAATTAAATTGGCGCGTGTGTTCAGCAGTGGTGGTCAGTGGCGTTTCAGATGAGGGAGGACCACATTTTGTTTTCATGAGCAGGGCCTTATTTCTATTACAGCATGTTGGATGACTCTCATTCATATTCCATTCACCCAGTTCAATGTAACATCGATAGGTTTAGGCTGCTACATGAAACTCGAATTTTTCCCTATACCCATCATGAGGTTGCTACAACCTAGCCTATGAATGAAAGTTTACAACGTAGGTGGACACATGTCGAGAGACAAATTGAGGTGCCAGACAGTGAAACATGGACAGACAGTGACATTCAACACCGCCGTGCACACGCTTGCCTGCATCTAGCTGATACAGGGTGTATTCATTAGTCCAACAGTTGCAAACGAGAGTTTCTATTGGACAAATTCAGGTATGTTTATCCCCGTTCTGTTCCGTTCGCTTCCGTTTTAAGAAACGTTTTTCCCCCAACAGAATCGGCAGGAATGAATACACCCCGTGATCAGGCGTAAACACAGTTCACTCTCATAGCAGCCACGTTGTATTCCTGCTCTTCCCTTCGCTTGTGGACTTCAACGCACAACACATCAGCTGTACGTGACCAGGCGAAAAAAACACCTTTCCAAGCCAAACCTGTATAAACAGCCTACATCATTTTCACCATATTAGTGCTATATTGGTGCTACCCTACAGAGGGCTGCTGAGGCTACTGCAGACCTTCTTTGAAGCTTTGGAGCTAGTTTGTTTCCCAGTTTCCCCGGTTGTCTTGAACGCACTGAAGTCAAGAGATTTCCCCGAGTAGTTTTGAACGCGGCATCAAACTGTTGCAAGCGTTACGACACACCACTTTGCAATGAGCTGGAAGGCAGTATGCATTTTGTAAACATATACTTAATTGTTTGAAACTTGAAACGTTTTAATCCACATTATGAGGCGTGTCTTAACCTTGCTCCAAAGTAGCCTATTAGATCTCCTCTCTTTTTTCTGCCCAATTGGTAGATACAGTCTTGTCCCATCGCTGCAACTCCCCTATTTCTTTCTCAACAAGCTGACCAATAGAATAGGTGGGCTAATCTTTTCTACTCTACTAGCTTGACATAGGCTGGTGATTTGTCTGTAGTCCTCTGTAGCTCAGCTGGTAGAGCACGGCGCTTGTAACGCTAAGGTAGTGGGTTCGATCCCCGGGACCACCCATACACAAAAAAAAAATGTATGCACGCATGACTGTAAGTCGCTTTGGATAAAAGCGTCTGCTAAATGGCATATTATTATTATTTAGCTGTTCGTTACTCGTCTTGTTGGCTGAGGAAAAGTAAATGTGGACAGTTATTCTAACATGTTCAAAGTGCACATCGGAATTCGCTAAGAAGAAACGCACGTCGTTGCATCCTCGACTTGCGTGTTCTGTTAATGTGAATTACCATCATCTAAATGTGATTTGTGTCATTCTGAGGGCCGTGGGTGGACGCCCTAAATCAGGTTATAAACCCAATGCATATGGGTCTGGTCAATTTCTCAAATGTCCGGTAAATTAAAAATATCCGGCGCCGCGGAAACCCTGGCACGCGCCCCCCACCCTTCAAACTCCAGGATGTTGGTTCGAGAGTTGACGGACGTCTGAGAGGGGGCGGAGTCATCCCGAGTCTCCTCCACAGAGTCTTCCTCGCTGGTCTCAATCAGGTCCTCTCCGTCAGCCCCGCCATGACGTCTGTGACCGCCAGGTCTTCTGGAGCGCAGGGAGCTGAATGGGAGGGAGGGAACATGTTTTAATGTAAGACTGGAAAAAGAAGACAATTGACATCTACAATAAATTGATTTGACATGTGTGTCGTGTGTAAATAACTGTAGTGGTTCACTAACATGGGTAGATGGCTCCTCCCAGTGGTCATCTATACTAACTGCAGGTGGCAGGGAAAGGGGGATACCTAGTCAGTTGCACAACTGAACGCATTCAACTGAAATGTGTCTTCAGGGGGCTGCCACGTCTTTAACGTCCATGTCATCGGCGCACAGGGAGCAGGTGTTGTTAACTGCCTTGCTCAAGGGCAGAACGGAAGATTTTTTCCCCCCCACTTTGCCAGCTCGGGGATTCGAACCAGCAACCTTTCAGTTACTGGCACAACGCTCGTAACCACTAGGCTACCTGCCGCCTACGCTTAGTACCAGTATCTAGTGTTTTGTCAATGGTCGTCTACCTGCTGTGTGACTGCAGCCTCCGGTACTCTGCCCTGACTTCATCCAAGCTGCACGGCCCATCTTCATTGCCGAGGAATATCCCTAAACACGTCGGGTGAATAGAAACGGACCACTTTATCACAGAACATGTTGTTGCTGTACACGTCAAAATGGCAGAGGGCTCCTCTCACCTTTCAGTAACAGCAGTCTGCTCAGGTAGGCTTCCTGCTCTTTGAGAAATCCTTTGGCATGGTCCAAGATCTTCCACTGACCGATGAGACAACATTATAATGACTTTAAAATTATAAGCATTCAACTGAAGTTTATTTTTTTTAAATGTTTTTTAACCTAAATACCAATTTATCCCAGGTAGGTGAAGATCTACCTCCATCACCAGGTAGGTGAAGATCTACCTCCATCACCAGGTAGGTGAAGATCTACCTCCATCACCAGGTAGGTGAAGATCTTCCTCCATCACCAGGTAGGTGAAGATCTACCTCCATCACCAGGTAGGTGAAGATCTACCTCCGTCACCAGGTAGGTGAAGATCTACCTCCATCACCAGGTAGGTGAAGATCTACCTCCATCACCAGGTAGGTGAAGATCTACCTCCATCACCAGGTAGGTGAAGATCTACCTCCGTCACCAGGTAGGTGAAGATCTACCTCCGTCACCAGGTAGGTGAAGATCTACCTCCGTCGCCAGGTAGGTGAAGATCTACCTCCGTCACCAGGTAGGTGAAGATCTACCTCCGTCACCAGGTAGGTGAAGATCTACCTCCGTCACCAGGTAGGTGAAGATCTACCTCCATCACCAGGTAGGTGAAGATCTACCTCCATCACCAGGTAGGTGAAGATCTACCTCCGTCACCAGGTAGGTGAAGATCTACCTCCATCACCAGGTAGGTGAAGATCTACCTCCATCACCAGGTAGGTGAAGATCTACCTCCGTCACCAGGTAGGTGAAGATCTACCTCCATCACCAGGTAGGTGAAGATCTACCTCCATCACCAGGTAGGTGAAGATCTACCTCCGTCACCAGGTAGGTGAAGATCTACCTCCATCACCAGGTAGGTGAAGATCTACCTCCATCACCAGGTAGGTGAAGATCTACCAGCATTATCAAAGATGGCTGTTTTCACACGGCCGGAAATGTAACTTCCCAAATCCAAGGGCGGCACATTTGCTTGTTCACGAGGTTACGACTTGCTAACGTAACTTCAGCTTTCACAGGTTGACCAAACCAATCTAGCTAATATCAAAGACAGTAGGCAGGTTTCCACCGACCCAGATTTATTCGACAAAAGCAATGCCGCAAAACAAAATAGCGTGTAATGGAAAAATTGCAGATATAGGAGACAATTTCTAATGATCGACAACATTGTTATCCATTTGACGGGGTGGACTTTCTTTTATCGAACTTTCTTTATTTGCGAAAACAAATGATGGAAACGGTGTTCCTCTAATAAACGATGATTGCCGAATCATTTTGAAGGTACAAGGGGAACGTGATGTCACCACGTCGTAGCCTAAGTATGAAGCTCCATTCCACATTTAGTTCTAAACGCCTACTGCCTGCTAAATCTATTTTTCAACTATAAAAATTATGTTTCTTTGCAGGATCCTTTTCCTGACTTTTAAAGAATGCCTGAATTGCTTCGCCTCGCTTTTCTGGTTGGCTGGATGCAAATTTCACCATCAAATTATTTCAGATCTACAGGAGTGCAAGTTTCACCAGGTCACAGACCGTGGCGGTACGTTGGCACATGAGGACTATTAGAACTTGGCAAATATTAGTAAATTATGACATATTCTATTAATGCTGGCTTTTGCGGGCTACAAACAGGGCTGTTATGGGTTAATGGAAACAGACAGGGCTATTATTGGTTAATGGAAACAGACAGGGCTCTAATGGGTTAATGGAAACAGACAGGGCTCTAATGGGTTAATGGAAACAGACAGGGCTCTAATGGGTTAATGGAAACAGACAGGGCTCTAATGGGTTAATGGAAACAGACAGGGCTCTAATGGGTTAATGGAAACAGACAGGGCTCTAATGGGTTAATGGAAACAGACAGGGCTCTAATGGGTTAATGGAAACAGACAGGGCTCTAATGGGTTAATGGAAACAGACAGGGCTCTAATGGGTTAATGGAAACAGACAGGGCTCTAATGGGTTAATGGAAACAGACAGGGCTCTAATGGGTTAATGGAAACGGACCGGGCTGTTATGGGTTAATGGAAACAGAGATAGTGGCCATTGTGTGATATTATTTAAGGTTTTCTGATCAACTGACAAAAGTCAGATATTTCAGATTGAAGCACAAATATATTGCTAGTTTACAGGGGATCCATATCAGCGTTAGCCACGCTAGCGTCGCCCTCATCTGGGTGCTAGCAAATTAACAAGCATGCTAGGTACTGCTACTAGGTCTCAACGGCCAATCCAGTAGGGGCTGGAACACTCATCAAGTTTGCCTGGCGACAGGAAAGTGTTAGGCCTGATCACCGACGATGAATGAGACAGCCTATAGGGAGGAGGTCAGAGACCTGGCAGTGTGGTGCCAGAACAACAACCTCTCCCTCAACGTCAGCAAGACAAAGGAGCTGATGGTGGACTACAGGAAACGGAGGGGTCAAGCACACACGGGGCTGTATTGGAGCAGGTTGAGAGCTTCAAGTTCCTCTGTGTCCACATGAATCATCATGGTCCACACACACCAACACAGTCCTGAAGAGGACACGACACCTCAGGAGGCTGACAAGATTTGGCATGGGCCATCCCGAGTGGCGCAGCGGTCAGAGGAAGGCTCTAAAAATGGTAAAAGACTCCAGCCACCCAAGTCATAGACTGTTCTCTCTACCGCATTGCAAGCAGTACCAATACACCAAGTCTGGAACCAACATGACCCTGAACAGCTTCTAAATCTTACTAGCAACTGACCGAAATACAGAAAAAAATCGACATTTTTTTTTCTAAATTAGTGCTGTTTGAATTTGATAAAATGCGGGACATAACTGCTTGGTTGTGGGACGCGTGACAAAGGGACAAAATGCGGGACAAAATGCGGTCACCCTAAAACCCACTGTGAGTACATTAGCTAGCTAGCCCAAAATCACACCCTCTCTCTCTACCCAGCAACAGTTATCTAGCTGACTAGTTGCTCTATAGTAGCTGACCAAAAATGTTTTCGCAACAGCAGCTACACACAAAGGAGAGGCATCCATTTAGATACCTTAGCAGGCATCTTGTAGGATGTGGGACAGACGACGGTTTTCAGTGTCTCGAACAAGGTGGCTAGGTTGGCTCGGTGTCGGGCCTGCAGAGCCCGCCTTCTCTCCTTCTGATGCTCCTCGATGTCCCGCTTCCTCCGGGGACCCGCACAGCCTCGACTGGACATCCCTGATGGATGGTAAACGCGACACCACACTGGTTAACCGAGTTGTTCCTCTTCCCATTGTTTGGGTTATAATAACGGGTCTCAAAAAGATGGCTACCTAGCAACCTGATGGCTGACGTTAACGTTAGGCGCTGATGATTAGCTAGCTAATGCCGCTAGCTAGCAAACGTTTTAGCTACTGTTAGCTACTTGTTATGTTGCTTCCTTACCTTTGAAATCCTTTAGAAATGTCTGTTAGCAAACTGGCAAACGTTTTCTGTTCATGTAATGGCAAATAATCTTGTGTAATGATTTTTCATGCAGGATGTAGCCAAAGTGATGAAGCTACATGAACCGTCCAAACACCAGGCCGTATTGAGATCCAGCAGGCGGCAGCGGTCGGTCTAGTCGTCGTCTTCAGTAAAGGTTGGAAACGTCTTCATCAGGTGGATAACTTAGTCAGCTAGCGACGTTGTTCGTGATAGCGAAAGTCACACTTTTATTTAAAACGGTACAAAGGTGTGTTTGGTCATATACTTAGCTGATGCAACGTATTTACTTACCGGTATTTTAAAAATAGTGGTTGATATTTCACCTGAAAAGATATCCGGTCAGGAAGGAGAGGAGTAACTTTATTCTGCCCAGCCTGAGCACTGCACAGGTATGTCTTTCACAATTATATCTAAATCAAATGCATTGACTAATTTTCAGAGTTAATATTTTAGAGTCAGTCTACACTTTTTTTTTTAACCCTAAATGACCTATTGTTACTGTATTATCACCAAGGCCCTAGACCCTTTACTTTAGGGCTTATAATAAAGACTGCTTTATCAAGGCCCTAGACCCTTTACTATAGGGCTTATAATAAAGACTGCTTTACCAAGGCCCTAGACCCTTTACTATAGGGCTTATAATAAAGACTGCTTTACCAAGGCCCTAGACCCTTTACTATAGGGCTTATAATAAAGAGGGGCGGCAGGTAGCTTAGTGGTTAAGAGCGTTGTGCCAGTAACCGAAAGGTCGCTGGTTCTAATCCCCGAGCCGACTAGGTGAAAAACCTGTCGATGTGCCCTTGAGCAAGGCACTTAACCCTAATTGTTCCTGTAAGTCGCTCTGGATAAGAGCGTCTGCTAAATTACCAATTTATTTTTTTATTTTAAAGACTGCTTCGAATGAGAAAAGCAGACAGTTTTGAATTCTCCATTGAGATTCCAATGATTTAGTATGACGGCTTATGCTTCAGAAACAAATATCCAAACATGATAGTGTTTGGTTGGTAGTGCCACAAAATCTCTAGTAGTCCTTCCTCTTTCCATGCCATTCATATGGAACGGTGGTAAATGTCGCCACCCAGAGGCAGCTGAGACACATGTATTTATAACGTCAATGGTCTTTTCTCAAATAGATTTTGCTCAACTCCTGCGTCCTCTCTCGACCTCCCTTTTGAAAAAAAAGGTCAAAGGTAATCAAGGAGAGGCGGCGAGGAGAGTGGACGTGGATGAAAATGTGCTTGTATGAAATGAGAAGCTCCTTCTTCACTCGCACGTCATCAGGCAAATGACGTTTACAGGGCTGGATCCCAAAATAAATGCATAAAGTAATCAAAACAAATGAAGTTAGTTGTGCAAGAAATGTTCTATGTTAAAAGATAAGTAGCATATGGTTTTTAAATGTGAGCACGCTTTTCTCCTCTGACAATACAACAGCTGAATGAAAAGGGGGTGTGGCAGATATCAAAACTCTTCCTGGTAGGATACACTTGTGCTTCCTTTGCCAAAAGGAGGCTATGGAGGACGGGGAGGGCCGTCTTCTGTTTACCTACTAATGAATGGACACACTGCTCGACCACTCCACCACTTATCGGTTTCCGGGTCACGGAGGAGAGAGAGGACGGAGGAGAGAGAGGTCCTCTGTAGCTCAGCTGGTAGAGCACGGCGCTTGTAACGCCAAGGTAGTGGGTTCGATCCCCGGGACCACCCATACACAAAAAAATAAATGTATGCACACATGACTGTAAGTCGCTTTGGATAAAAGCGTCTGCTAAATGGCATATTAATTTATTATTTTAGGACGGAGGAGAGAGAGGACGGAGGAGAGAGGGGACGGAGGAGAGAGAGGACGGAGGAGAGAGGGGACGGAGGAGAGAGGGGACGGAGGAGAGAGAGGACGGAGGAGAGAGGACGGGGGACTGACTTTTGCCCAAATGAGAAATGTCCATGTAGCAGCATTCAATCAACAACAAAACAACCACATCTTGATTTATTTCAGTTTATTCCACAACTCTTATGATCTTCTGAAGATATCAACAATTTAACAAATAGGATTTTCGAATAAAAACACAATGTAACATTTAAAGGGACGAGGTTTAAACTGAAACACTTAAACCAGTTAAACATACAGAGAAACATGACTTTTGGCTTCAAACCAATTTGGCAGCTTTGTTTTAGGAGGAACATCTCAACAAAGGTACTGGATGGATGGAGATCAGGCTGTGTCCCAAATGGCACCCTATTCCTTATATAGTGCACTACTTTAGACCAGAGAATGGCACCCTATTCCTTATATAGTGCACTACTTTAGACCAGAGAATGGCACCCTATTCCTTATATAGTGCACTACTTTAGACCAGAGAATGGCACCCTATTCCTTATATAGTGCACTACTTTAGACCAGAGAATGGCACCCTATTCCTTATATAGTGCACTACTTTAGACCAGAGAATGGCACCCTATTCCTTATATAGTGCACTACTTTAGACCAGAGAATGGCAGCCTATTCCCTATATAGTGCACTACTTTAGACCAGAGAATGGCACCCTATTCCCTATATAGTGCACTACTTTAGACCAGAGAATGGCACCCTATTCCCTATATAGTGCACTACTTTAGACCAGAGAATGACACCCTATTCCCTATATAGTGCACTACTTTAGACCAGAGAATGACACCCTATTCCCTATATAGTGCACTACTTTTGACCAGAGCCCTACTGGTCAAAGTAAATCCCAGTGTACACTACTTTTGGCACTATGGGCCCTGGTCAAAAGTAGTGCACTACATAGGAAATAGGGTGCCATTAGAGACGCATGGAGATGGAGGTCGCTCCACACACAGACATAAGGTTAATCCACTCTCACAGACAGACAGAGAGATAGAGACAGCGTTCTCTACTAGCGGATTGGGACAGGACGGCTGGCTGGCGCACAGGGAGAACACTACCCTACTAGCGGATTGGGACAGGACGGCTGGCTGGCGCACAGGGAGAACACTACCCTACTAGCGGATTGGGACAGGACGGCTGGCTGGCTCACAGGGAGAAACACTACCCTACTAGCGGATTGGGGACAGGACGGCTGGCTGGCTCACAGGGAGAACACTACCCTACTAGCGGATTGGGACAGGACGGCTGGCTGGCTCACAGGGAGAACACTACCCTACTAGCGGATTGGGACAGGACGGCTGGCTGGCTCACAGGGAGAACACTACCCTACTAGCGGATTGGGACAGGACGGCTGGCTGGGGGAGAACACTACCCTACTAGCGGATTGGGACAGGACGGCTGGCTGGCTCACAGGGCGAACACTACCCTACTAGCGGATTGGGACAGGACGGCTGGCTGGCTCACAGTGAGAACACTACCCTACTAGCGGATTGGGACAGGACGGCTGGCTGGCTCACAGGGAGAACACTACCCTACTAGCGGATTGGGACAGGACGGCTGGCTGGCTCACAGGGAGAACACTACCCTACTAGCGGATTGGGACAGGACGGCTGGCTGGCTCACAGGGAGAACACTACCCTACTAGCGGATTGGGACAGGACGGCTGGCTGGGGAGAACACTACCCTACTAGCGGATTGGGACAGGACGGCTGGCTGGCTCACAGGGAGAACACTACCCTACTAGCGGATTGGGACAGGACGGCTGGCTGGCTCTCAGGGAGAACACTACCCTACTAGCGGATTGGGACAGGACGGCTGGCTGGCTCTCAGGGAGAACACTACCTCAGTGACAGTTGGTGTTACACTTGTGGAATTCAATTTGAGAAGAGACGAGCAAATGTTAAGTCCGATACTACGAAGCAACCTTAAATACAATGTGTACCTTCATTTGGAGGTGCTCAGCATCTCTTCTCCCCCTACCCCACGAGTGTAACAATGGCATTATGGCTTACGGGATCATAGACGCTTAACACCTCTGGCCTGGGTGGAGATGGGGAAGGAAGGTTGTAGAGCCATATTCAATCAACCCTTCCGCACAGGAATATTTACTCAGTTGCGATTCACTGTATATTAGTACTTTGTTTGTACTATGTTATTACTATATGCTAGTACCAAGTACTGGACCGCAGAGAAGCCTGTTCCTCTGAAGATATGGTACTGAGTAAATACTGCAATGCGGGTTGATTTGAATTCAGCCAAAGTGTGCTTCTGAGACTCATTGATTGGACGATTGATGGATTTATCAATTGATTGATTTGAGTGTTGTGGTTTTTGAACGATCAAATGGACGGTGTCTGGCGAATGTACGAAAATGTATGCACTCACTTAACTAAGTCGCTCTGGATAAGAGCGTCTGCTAAATGACTAAAATGCAAAGGTTCCTGTGGTTATTTATAGGATAGACTGATCTGACTGAGGTGCAGTATGGAGCGGTATGGACTATGGATATCTATGGGTATGGACTATGGATATCTATGGGTATGGACTATGGATATCTATGGGTATGGACTATGGATATCTATGGGTATGGACTATGGATATCTATGGGTATGGACTATGGATATCTATGGGTATGGACTATGGATATCTATGGGTATGGACTATGGATATCTATGGGGTATGGACTATGGATATCTATGGGGTATGGACTATGGGATCTCTATGGATATGGTGACTATGGATATCTATGGGTATGGACTATGGATATCTATGGGTAATGGATATGGATATCCTATGGGTATGGACTATGGATATCTATGGGTATGGACTATGGATATCTATGGGTATGGGACTATGGATAT